ACAGTGGAGAGAGGGAACAGGGGAGCTGGATTGGTTTCTTGTGTGACTACCTGGCTGCAGGAACTTCAGGAGGCTGCCAGCACCCTGCTCTCTGCCTGCCCCTGTCCCACTGGTTAGCTACTGACTGCAGACCTGGCGGGTCCTTTCTACTTTGGGACTGCCCTAAAGCCAACACTGTCACCCATCTCTCTTTGGCTTGTTTTCCCTCCGTACTTTCTTTTGAGGGAAGGATGGCTTGGTCCATGGATTTTGTTGTGTGGGAGAGAGGCAGAAGGGTGCACCTTATGCATCACCAAATAGGTTGTCTTCACTTGACTTTGGGGGATGAGTCCAGGGCCCATATTCTTGACCGATTGACCCCATTAGTGGTGGAGTCCATGCGGATGGGGAAGGGGATCTCAGGTGGCCTTTCTGAAGTTTTCCCATTACTGATCAAAGAGGCTATAGGGGTGCCTTCCCAGGAGGAGCCTCCAAAACCTACTTGGATGCATATCCTTCCTCATTCTGTGACACTACCACCCTCCCTCTTCCACCCCTCGGCCATTATATCTGGCGTGCTGGTTCCCTGGAGTGTGTGTTCTCAAGGTGTGCACTGCACAGGGAGAAAGGGAAGCAGAGACCTGGATAGATCTGGGGTGGGGTATCAGCTCTTGCCTTGCTTATCCAAATAACATCCAGGATGAGACCTGAAATACCTCTGGATTCCCAGGTACCTTCTCTGAATCGAATCAGCAAACAAAGACGACATTACGCACCACATAACTAGCAGTGCGTATTTCTTTGTCTTTCAAAATTGGGAAACCAGTGTATGACCTCTGTGGGAACTCTTGCTTTTAAAAAGAATAATGGATTTTCCAGACCATCATATCCCATTTGCACACCAGACAGTAAAGAAGATTCTACTGATCACGTACTGTTACCCCAGCACTGGGGTGGGTGCTTCTGGGAAGACAAGTGGATGGTGCTGATTGGTGGGGATCAAGACAAGCCCTTCTTGGAGGGGAAAAGAACAAAGTGAAGTCCGCATTCTCGAGGACCAGTTGCAGGAGGCAGACACCTTGGGCTCCTCCAGTCCCTTTCTGGCTGAGTGTGATTCCACATCCCGAAGCTGACCTTCTCCTTGGCTTTTGGAGAACAGATAAGTTTCTGTGGCCCCACAGGGTCCTTGAGACAAGGAGCATTTCCTGACAAATGTTCATCTTATTGGTGTCCTTAGTGGCAGGAGTGAGAGGCTAATGGGAACAGGATGGGGTTAATCAGACTTCCCCTTTTTCTATGAAAGCAGAATAACTTGACAACGCATTCTGGTATGTTGGTTCCCTTGACCTGTGGCTGTGGGTGAGGTCTGTGGGCCTCTCCAGGGCCAGTGATGGGCCTGCCTAAGGGGCCTAGAGAGCTACTCTGCTGCTTAAAATGTGCAGATCAGGGCCCTAGGCAGTGCGGGAGGGGAGTACCAGGTATCTACTTTTCCATGAGAAACAGATGATTTTCTAAGACCCCGAGGCTATTTAGAGGAATGTTGAGTTGAGTCTGCGCTATGCACTGAAGTGGCCTTTTCTCCCAAATCGTTTTTTCCTTTCTACTTTCCTCTAATCTGGAGATGATGATGTTCACAAAGGGAATGAACAGTCACTGAGAAACATGGAAACATCCAGGGCCTCATTGAAGGTTGGACCAGGGGAAACCTCTTCAGGAACACAATAGGCAAAGCCAGGGGCACATACAGAGCTCAGGTGTTCAGTCCCTCTGCAATGCTGTCTTCAACCTCCAGCATGGATGTTGAGGAACAGGTAGGGAGTAATAGTAGCCAGGACAGTAACAGCCTCCCGTATTTGCATGGCACTTTCTCCTATGTTTGATAACGTGTGTTTAGCTACAGGATTTGTGTATGCCCAGAGCCCCAGGATTGGAGAGGACTCGAGATCTTCAGTTTCTGTGGTCTTAACCTTAACTTCTTGGGCTTTTTGAGGCCATGAAAGATGGCCTCAAGATACTCTTGCCAGACAAATACACCAACATACATACTCTGTTGTGTATTTCAGAGGGATAGCCCCAAGTTCAGAATATGCTCCAGTCTGGAACTACGCCTCCCCCTGCTGTGTGACTTGCTACAGGCTTGGGATACAGAAACAGAGACTGAGGGACCATGCATGGCAATTCATGGTGGCTGCTTGTGCTGCTTCTGAATGCCCCTCGTTCCACATCTAAGATGGAGGTGCAGGGCCCCTGATTGGAGACTGTCCAGCCTCTCTGCTCGTCAAGTGCTGGAGGGGTATCAGCAGGCCTTGCATAATGTTAACGATCCTGAGCTGTGGTCAGAGGCAGGCAGGGTGCCAGGAAGCTGCCTTGAAGGAGCAGAATGCGATCCCCATCCCTTTAGGAGTAAGGTAATCGTGAGAAGAGCCTGGGTCAAGGGTCAGCTCAGAGGCTTGCTTCCAGTCCTCAGTCTCCTTTGACCTTGGGCCCAGCAGATAACCTCTCTGAGTTTGTTTCCTCCTTTCCCAAAGTGTATCTGGAGTACTGAGCAGAGCAGATGCTACAAAGTGTGTGAAATTGCATTGGCTCTGCAAATCAAGACATGTTCTCATGGTGACGATGATAAGAAACAGGAGAATCTGCCTTTCTTTGGGTCTGGCCAGGCTACAGGCAAGATCTTGTTATCCTTTCTCAGGCCAGGCCTAAGGTGTTTTTGGATTCTGTCTACCCCGCCAGGGCTCATTCTGGATCAAAAGCTCATAGCAAATTCAGAAGCTGTCTGGAGTGGGTGCTCATAGGGACAAAATAAGCCAGCTGTGGATAGAAGAGGCTACTCCTCTCCCCTTCCCCAGACCCAGTTCCTGCAGGCCTTACCATTCCCTCGGATGTCCCTTTCTGAGTCTTGGGATCAGGCTTGTCATCTTTAAGGAGCCCTGGGAGAAAAACCTTTAGTCATGGATAGAGGGTAAGTGCCAGACTATGTGAAAATTGGGGTGTCATATCATCAGCCCAATAGTTTCTCCGAGTCCCAAAATTTCCAGACAGGGATGTCAGCTAGCTTCACGGAGCACCAGAATACAGGGTCAGTTTCCTTGGGATACAACAAGGTAAAGTGGCCCACTTCCTCATGTTCACTAGCCTCCCTGCTTTCCTATAACGAGGGTCTGATTATTTACAGCCACTTAGCATGGCATGGCCCTATTGGACAGAGCTAGCTGTCCAGTGTTAGCCTGCCCACCCCATCCAATGGTATGGCTTGGGGATGGACTCCTGGTTGAGTCCACTGTGGCCAGGGTGGCAGGGCTGGCTTCACTCTACACTGGGAGCATGAGTCACATCAACTAATGTAAAACAAGAACTCTCTGAGTCCTAGGGTGACTTGCTTCCCAAGGGGGGCTAGATAATGGACAAGCATTTGGAGGCTCCCTGGGGATCTGGAGACTGGGCAAGTCTTTCCTACCTGGAAACAGACAGAAAGATGAGGGGAATAGCCTTTGAAGGTCACCTTTATCCTCTGACACTCCACCTCTGAAAATCTCTTTAGGCAAATAGGTTGAAATACCACTAGACACCAAGTAGGGAGGCCCCCGCCCTTGGCCTTGACCTTAGTCTTCCTTCACCAGGAATTCATTTCCTTGTTTCCACTGAATGCTCCTCACCTTTCCAAAGCCACCTTCTTAGGCATGTCAGCTCATGGCTCCAAGACCCAGTTGCCTTTCAGGTCCCACCACACTGGGTAGCATTTAATCATCCATACACAGTATTTCCTTGATGTCCATTTTGTTTGTCAGACTAAGTCATATGCTTCCTGAAGGTGGAGGCCCCACTACCACAACTGTCCCTGTCATGGTATTGAACACCTGCAAGCCTATGACGTTCTTTAGTAAAGCCGTGAGCTATGAAGACATGTGTCTGCCACCACTGTCATGGTGAGTCCTCAGAAAGCATTTGGCTCCCCAGCCACAGTTGTGCGTCTGGGGGTGTAGTCACCAGGTGTGTTAGTATGGTCGCGAGATCTGGCATATTTGCCTTCTGTGTTGTTGGATTCCTGTGAGCAAGGTCCTCGGGGCTTGGCTGTTCCTGGCAGCCTGCCAGGCGTGTTCTTGGAGAGAGGAGTGGCACAGTGCCCAGCCTCTGTGGGCACCTCAGGGATGCCACCCAGTAGGTGTGGTCTAGGGCCTTTACCGAGATGGCAGGAGGGGAGCACAGCCTGCTGGGAGAGCCTGGCCTCCACATTCCTGATCTACTGCTTGTGCTGAATCATGTTCATTCCATCCACAAAGAGAAACCTTACTTTTTAAAATCCACTGTTCTCTGACTGGGCTAGGCACAGGCATTTCCAGTGATAAAGATGCAGGAGGAATCCAGTGCCAGGACCTGCTTCACTGGTTCCCAAGGCCAGAGACGTGGCAGCTTCTGTGTAGA